TTAGCTAGCTTCAACCACAACAAGAAGAAGGAGATTAACCATCCCACACTAGTTTCGCCTTCAAAAAGGAAAAAAGAGTTTCTTCCCCAAAGATCGCCAGCCGAAGACGAACACGCCCATGCTCTCACGGGGGTGATTATATTTTATTTCCTTTTTGTTCAGGTCTTTCATTTAATACGGATTATGATTCGCTCCCTGTGAACATTTGTCCGTATTGAGGCTAATACAGCAATGGTAAGTCCGGGTCAATCTTAGTATTTCTTCCAACATCAAGGGTATTCACAAGGTCACCAGAAACTGTTGGAAGAGAGTCCACTCGATGTCGATTTCAAGGACAAATCGAAGTTTGAAATCGTTACGTGACTTCCTAAGCATTCTAATACGGGTTTCCAAAAGGTCCCCGAAGGTTTATTATGTCAAATTATCTTCACCGTGAATATGGGGGAATCGATGCCGTGGATAACTACAACATGGTGTCGATTTTGGTCGTGTTGCTCCACTGGCATATGGGCCCCCACCTGCTACGACAAATGCCTGTCTTGTCTCCGGGCTAGCAAAGCAGAAACCGTTGTCCCTTTCGGAAACCCTTCCTTCTCTCTCTTCTCTCTTTTTTGGATACAATTGCGCCTTTGCAAAATCCTAGCTACAACACCCGTCGATGCGAATCATCCTTCCCGTCAGGAAACGTTAATAAGCTAATTTCTCTGTTTTCCTTCTTTCTCCCACACAGGTTTTATCCGCCATATGCCTAGAGTTTTCTTATCATAAGCACAAGTTCCTACCTATCAAAGAGAAAAGAGGTTCCCTGTCTACTTTACGAACCATTTACGTCTCAGCTCGCTAAAATAACCTCTCATTTGAATGAAGTCCTCTCAACTTGTAATGCGCAAACCTTGATGAGCCTTGTCGAAATTCCGTGTACGCGGCAGTTTTCCTTTGGATAGTTACTTGCCCGTCTGTTGAATAGGGCCAAATACCCGTTTGGGATTTTATCGGCCAGTTGATGACCTAGGATGGCTCCTTGTTTATGATTTATTCCTCCACTTCCCCATATCTACGTACGTGCCTCCGTTGTTTTTTTTTTTTTTTTTTTTTTTTTTTTGGGTTCCCAGGCGGGCTGGACAGCTATGGGTTATGGCATATATTGGCTTCTTCTACAATATGGCTTTTGTTTCGTGTCCATGGGGCTTTGGAGCTTCATGTATATTATTATTGCCTTGCATTTGCATCCTAAAATTTATTGCATGGATTGCTGTTTGGTGGTCGGTATGTATATTCTGGAGATTAACGGATAAATAAATAGACCATATACCAAAACTCAAATAAATGTGGATAAATATCTAAGACTTTAACTGGACAGTCAGGCCTTTTACGCTCCCTATGCTTGCGCTGTCTGACCCCTGGCTTACTCAGCAAATGCCCGCTTGGTTATGACGTCTTGTCGTCAACTTAACTTGCAACTCTTCTGTTCTTTGTTGAAAATAAAAATAATGCCCAGAGCATAACATCCATTGTATCTTCTAACATCCCATATACAGACATCCGACAGGAAGAACTAATGACAACCTCGAAAACGAACCCCCTCGCGATAATATGAGAGCGGCCCTTTGGCTGGGTCGTTTCCCTCCCAATCCCGCTTTTCTATCATGCTACAAGCAAACTGGTAGACCACCTACCAGCTCCTCTGCGATTTACCTGCGCCGCCTGTTCTCCTTCTCTTCGAAACCCTTCAATTCCAAATACGCACCCGCTCCATGCCGAAGCTGCCGTCAGCACCATGCCGGAAAATCACAGCATTATCACAAATTTCAATGGCGGAGCCACCAAAATGTTTCAGGGTCCCGCCGCACTTTCAGCCCCTACCGGGGAACTTCCACTCTCCTCCTGGCGGTCATCTTAACTCCTGCAGCCTTTCTCGAGCTTGCTGAGAATGGTGCAGATGACGCCTTCACGACTGCGGAGAGCGAGATGCTAGCGGCGTCGCACGAAGAAGCGCGAGCGCGGCGCAGGATACCCGATAATGTGGATGGGATGATCCGGCTCTGTCGGAGCATATATATATTCGTCGATCAGTTTGTGGTGGAGCCCGTGGCGACTGCTCTGCGATTTTTTCATTTACTCGTCATATTTGTGCCGGTTTTTGTCACAGTACCGGCGATCTGGATCGGGCCAAGGGTCAGGAGTCGGGATGGGGAGAGAACTGGGACGCTTTGGTGGTATGGGTTTCTGGTTAGAGCTATGGAGAGGGGCGGAGCGGCGTTTATTAAGGTTGTCTTTGATTTTGTCAAAAAGAACAATTTGAATAATGATAATGCACAGATTCGGAGCAGTAGGCTAACTGATTGTTTTTATATGAATAGCTTGGTCAATGGGCGGCATCACGGTCGGATATATTTCCTCCAGAACTGTGCGCGCAGATGTCCTCGCTGCACTCCAACGCTCCAGCTCACTCATTAAATGCTACGAAACGGATTATAAGCAACGCGTTCAACATGCCGTTCGAAGATATTTTTGAAGAATTTGACGAGAAGCCTCTGGGTGTCGGGGCTATTGCACAAGTATACAAAGCAAAACTACGACCGGATCTCGTTGTACATGACCAACTGGATGTGGAAGATAAGCCGTTGAATATAGCAGCGAAATTCAAGAAGAATGTGGATACATTGGTGAAAATCAGTCCGCGGCGGGTGCCTTCGTCGTACGTTGCGATCAAGGTGTTACATCCTCGTGTGCAAAGGATAGTGCGACGAGATCTCAAGATTATGGATTTTTTTGCGCGGATGATCAATGCCATCCCTTCGATGGAGTGGTTTTCTTTTCCTGATGAGGTGAAGCAGTTTGGACACATGATGCGACTCCAGCTGGATTTACGGATTGAAGCTGCAAACCTCCAGCTCTTCCGTGAACGTTTTAAATCGCGGACGACCGCTTGGTTCCCCTATCCATACACTGAGTATACAACTAGAGAGGTATTAGTTGAGGAATTTGCTCAAGGGATCCCGCTGGCTGTTTTCCTTGAGAGCGGCGGAGGGGTTTATCAGCAGGGAGTAGCCCGTGAGGGCCTCGACGCATTCTTACACATGCTCCTAATCGACAATTTTGTCCACGCTGATCTGCACCCTGGCAATATCATGGTCCGTTTCTACAAGCCGGGGCAACTAGATCTCTCTTTCAAGACCCACCGTCCGAGCACATCAGCAAAGGAGAAATGTCAGGTCGATGTAACCGAATCCGTCCTCAATCGCCTCCGACCATACCAGAAGGACCCAGAGAAATGGAATGCCGTTCTATCGGAAATTGAAAAGGAAGGCTACCGCCCGCAGCTTATTTTTATCGACACCGGCCTCGTCACGCAACTCAACAGCCTCAACCGACGGAACTTCCTTGACCTGTTCCGTGCAGTGGCTGAGTTTGACGGGTACAGATCCGGACAACTGATGGTGGAGCGGTGCCGGCAGCCGGGTGCTGTCATCGATCCAGAGATCTTCGCGCTAAAGATGCAGCATCTTGTGCTAGCGGTCAAGGGGCGGACATTTGCACTGGGAAATGTGAAAATCGGCGATGTGCTGAGCCAGGTGTTGTATATGGTGCGGGCACACCATGTGCGGCTTGAAGGGGACTTCGTCAATGTGGTTGTTTCTATCCTATTGCTTGAGGGCATTGGGAGGAGTTTGGATCCCGAGCTGGATCTGTTTAAGAGGTAAGTTCATTGTTTTCCCTAATTTCCCGGAGTGTCTTAATGGGTTTTTTTTTTTTTTTCTATTTTATGTAAGTTAATTACTAACTTCAGAATAAAAAGCGCACTCCCTATCCTCCGTCAACTTGGATCTGGTACGACAATACTGAAGTCCGTGAGAGAAGGCGACACTTCAATGCTGAAGGTGTGGGTCGGGCTTGAGGCGCGGACATTCCTGCAGGCAAGTATTGAGAACGTGGAGATGTGTGTGAAGTATGATCTGCTGTCGCCGAATATATAAAGGGGCATCAATCTAGGTATATCGTTCACGAAAGGGCCGGGTATGTTAAATGGTTGGAGTAGGGCAGGGTTATTTAACTTAGACAGGCCGTGGGCTTTTATCTTTCTTTGCCCTTTCATTCTGATATTATAATTGTTGCTAGCTCTCCAAATTTTGGCACCCTCATACGACGCACCTCCATTCTCGGTTTATTTCCCGTTTATATAAATATCTACAATATGAATATATATGATACCATTTACGCAAACTTTACAACCGGTGGATGTATCCCCATTGACGCTTAAATCAACACCTGTTTTTTTGACAAGGTGGACACGGCTGAATATGGGTCTCCTATGGCAATCTTCTGTTCAATCATCATCCAACTTCCAAACCCCCGCCAGTTTGATCCCAACTCTTGTAGTGTCCTCCAACCGACTTCTCCGCCGAAAACCCTTCCTAGCGACAGCCAACGGCTCTCTGCCTGCAGAAGTAGGAATAATATTTTTGATGCTCCATTCGATCTTCGGCAGTGGATCGGGCATTCCATCTTCAACCAGCCAGCCCGCTCAGACTATTTGGAGGGAAAATGCGAGCATAGAAAGGAAAACCGGTTTGTGCTTGACCGCTGGAGATCTTCAGCAGATCGTCAAATGGTTCTGTTAACTAATTACCATTCTTAATTTAAATTTGCGGGGTGGTTACGAAAAATATTGTCATCGAACTGCAACTGATTATTCTGATAATTTCACCGTATCCTTGAGTTGGAATTTTTCTCTTTTCACTCTTCATTGCCTCTGTTTTTCTTTTGCCAATTCCGTCTCTTTTTCTTCTTCTCACTTCTTCTTGATTTAAGCCGAGCAAGTCGAGATACCTAGGCTTCTACATCAACTCCGTGAGCTCATCACGGTAAACTTCAATAGTTTGCCACCATATCTCCGTAGCCACTCATTATATCCTATTTTATCCGTCCTTCGATTCGTTTTGCTCTTCCCCAATTCCAAGCAGGTCCAATGCGCATGTTCCGTCCGGCGAACGCAGGATATGTTAACAACTTCGATTCCACGACATCTCCGCCAGCCTGGAGATGAGGGATACCGAACTCCCACGATCGAGGATGTGGAAAACAATCCCGCCTCCGCTTTTCCGTTCCCAGACCAGTCATTGCCATTATCACTGCCGCAATCTGCTCCCCCTACTACACCAATTCTTGATCGTATCCGTTCCCGGGCATCTCATCAAACCAACGGCCACAACAATTCCACGACCGCTGGAGTGGAATCCAACGGGCTGAGGAAGGAAAGTGGTTTCAATGACTTCAAAGGCCATGTAAATAATTCGTTAGAGGATTGTCCGCTGACGCTGTCCTGGAAGGAGAGGATGCGACATTTTACTTGGGCGTTTTTCACGCTGACGATGGCGACCGGGGGGGTTGCGAATGCGCTGTATTGGGGTATGAATATTGTCCATTTATATCTACTTTACCCATCTCCTATACTCTGGTAGTATCCTTCTTGAATACCAAGCTAAAGGATCAAGTAGTTCCGTACCGTTTCCCTGGTCTTTATACAATAGGCGTTGTAGTAATGCTCGCCAACATCGCCCTATACTGCTGCATATGGGGCCTGCTACTCTTCCGCTTTTATAGCTTCCCATATACATTCAAAGCATCATTCATGCATCCGACAGAGTCCCTCTTTGTCCCAGCCTCAATCGTCTCATTCGGGACTATCCTCATTAATATCTCGCAATACGGCCTGATGAAATCCGGCGAGTGGCTAAATACGGCTACCTGTATCTTATTCTGGTTCAATGCCGCACTGGCCGTCATGTTCTCCGCCGGCATATATCTCATCCTGTATGTACGCCAAATACAACATGCTAACGGCATCCGTTTGACTCGCCACTCGACAACGGCTGTGGTGCTGACCTGACCCTCTCCTAGATGGTCAACGCAGACCTTTACAATCGCTCAGATGACGCCCATATGGATTTTCCCCGCCTACCCCATGTTAATAGTCGGACCCCATGCCGGCATACTGAGCAGCGACTTATCCCAGAGACAAGCTCTGCGCATTATAGTTGGAGGCACGACTATCCAGGGCGTTGGCTTCCTTGTTTCTCTGACAGTGTATTCAGCATTTATATACAGATTGATGACGCAGAAGTTGCCTAAAGAAAACTTGAGACCAGGCATGTTTGTCTCCGTGGGACCTAGCGCGTTTACAGTTGTAGGGATTATGGGTATGGCGAAGAACGCTGACCGGGCATTTCCGGCGGATTTCATGGGCGATGGTCCCTTCGCCGCCAAAGTTATTCGCACCGTAGCGAATTTTGCCGCGCTTTGGCTCTGGGGGTATGGTTACGCATTTCATTTTCCCTAAGAAACGCCCTCACCTGTTTCAAAATAAGCTCTCTAGACAACATCTCTAACCACTTTCACCAGCCTCGCCATATTTTTCTTCTTCATTGCTGTCTTCGGCCACTGGTCTGCCGTCAGCCGCGGTCGCATGCTCTTCTCCATGACATGGTACTCATTCGTTTTCCCCAACACAGCATTGGTGGCGGCCACCTTCGCCATCGGCAACGCGTTCGCGTCCCGGGAGATTGAGATCGTGGGATGCGCGATGGTCATCTTACTACTGATGACGTACGTTTTTGTCACAGTTATGATGGTGCGGGCTGTTGTGTTGCGTCATATTTTATGGCCGAGGAAAGGGGAGGATAAAGATGAGGGCGGGTTTAAGATTATGGAGATACAGCCTGCGGTGCCATCGATTTTGGTTGGGTAAGTCCGTAACGTGCGTAAATTGGAGATTGGCGGTCCTGGTTTTAGATTTTTCCTTTTCTCCTTATTCTTCCCCCCCCCCC